TTGCTATAATTGATGATTGACTTATTCCAGCATCTAAAGCAAGCCGCCTGGTACTTGTTTGAGGATCAATAGCTACCGCTCCTAAAACACCAACTGCCATACTTTCATTTGTTTGAGTTCTAGTCCTAACTTTTGGTTTGGCTGTTAGACTACCAGTCATACGACTTCTGGTTTTCAATCTTTTGAAGGCCATATGAGATTTTGAAATATTCGGAAACCTATCTCTCCACAGACTTGCAGCCTCCCTATAATTTTTTCTTCACCCAAAATTAATAACATATCAACTACTACATTAAAATTCGCTTCCATGTTTTTTCTTTTTGAACACAATTCAATTATCAATGGCACGTAAAAATTCTTATGTGACATACTTAAATAAACATTGGGGTTTCGATGGCAACAGGGATAACTTACATAGGATAGCTCCTCAAACAAGTACTGGGCGGCTTGCTTTAGATCAGCGGTTCCCAAACTGGGTGGCGCGCCCCCCTGGGGGGGGGCGTGAAGCAACATTGAGGGGGGCGTAAGTCTTCTAAACAATTAATACAAATTTTAAGCTTTAAAATAAAAAATCAGTTGAAATTTTAAAAAAGATGTCTACAATCCTACAACAGCGCATACATAAGCAAAAGCAGCTTTGCCATGCGATCTGTTACTCTGAAGATTCCTGAGTTACAATAATTTTTCCTTAGTGTTTTTTATCGAGGAATTATTAGAAGTTGCTGTTCTTACAGACGTAAATGGAGCGTAAACTAATTTTGACATAGCATAGCGTTACGGTAAGGCATCCGCTAACTCCCGTTAGGTAGCGGGCGGCTCTGCTAACGCTAATACCGTAAGAACTGTCATACTTGTCAAATAACGTTACGGTATTTCAAATTTGGACAGCACGAGAACTCTCTAATATGTGAATTATTCTGAATTGTGTGTTTTGGAGTGACTCCGAGGAGCTCTAGAGCGACACGTTCGGTGTAACTCGATGTATAAAAGGAATACAGTAATTGCTACAGCGCATGCTCGCTGCCCACTATCATGTCCATTCTTCCTCTGCCAAAGTCCAGTTCATAGGAGTTGCAGTAAGTAAAAAAAAAAAAGTGTGGGGGAAGGAAGGGGGGCGCGACCACTTCTTGATTTCAGAAAGGGGGTGCAAAAGAAAAAAGTTTGGGAACCACTGCTTTAGATGCTAGAATAAGTCAAACAATAATTTATAGCAATTCTGCACAGGTACAAGTTTCATCCTTACCACATCACAATAATTCATCAAGAGTTTTAGGGTCATGACTTTGAGAATCGCATAAATTTTTGCACTTGGGCTTCAAGAAAAATGCGCGAAAATTACCAATTTTTGAATAATGGTATTTTTTCTGATGCAGCTTTTTTTAATAATTTCAAGATTCAAATAATTTTTTATCAGTTCCTATTCAGTTTGGACCCCCTTGATTTTTTTTTTATTTGAATTCATAAAAGGATAAAGTAATTGCTACTGCTCCTACGACTTCTACGATTCCAGAGAACATGAAAAGCAGAATTCGTTCTGCATGTTTATTGGTGACTCCAGCAATGTTACAACGAGTACGAAATTCATTCCGGGAAAGAATAAGGAAATGTTTGGAAGTCGAAGGCGGTCATTTTGAACAACTTCTTAGGCATAATAGACGATAGATCATTAAAAATTAGGCGATAAGAATTTTTTTATTGTAGTTACCTTTTTAGTCATATTTCCATATTTAGTTGAACAAGCTGAAAAATAATTTGTGGACAGACTCCATTTTGTATGTAGAATCGTATTTCAGAATAAAAAACACATATTTCCATTTGAAATAAGAAAATGACCCCCCACTCCTCTCAAGAGAGTGAAGGGGCAAATGTCAAGAATATCGTAAAATGTGTCCCCCCGTGTACTTATTACGTCACTAAAATGTAAAAAAAAATTGCAGCTGTTTTTGATATATCGCATTGTAACACTTTGAAAAAGTCACCCTGTATATGAAATCAACTTTTGAGAATTGGCTTTGTCGATATCCAAATAGTTAACATTATATGAGAGAATTAAGTCAGGAATTAGAAGAGAGGACGAACAAAGGAGAACAACACCTGTCAATAAAGTATGTTCATGAAGTGCCCAGGATCGTCACCTTGAGAACTCAACCGTTGTCAAAAAACTAAGTAACAAAATAGCTGCTGAATCTGTGGTCGAAGTAACCTATTGGTATTCAAACCTGCGTTCTTTTAAAAATAAGATTGACGAGTGGAGAACAGGTATTCAGAAAACTAACCCTACTTTCATTTGCATCACAGAAACTTGGCTTAATTCAGAAATATCAGATGGCCTTATAGCACTGCCAGGATATCGGACCTTTCGTAAAGATAGAAAGGATAAAGAAGGTTGAGGTTTACTTATATACAGTGTGATTTTTTAAGTGTGCAACATATGGGGATTTTTTTTAGTAATTGCACAACCCAAATACAAACAATGCCAAAAGTTGGTGCATGTCTGATAAATCATATTAGGTGCACTTAGAATGGTTGCAAGTCAAACAGCATACAGGGTAGCTCAAACAATATCAAAGCTAGTACTGTAAAGTACCCTTATGTTAGAAAATTCAGCAAAATATTATAGAGAAAAGTTGTTTGGAATTAAAAGTTATGCCTAAATACCAAAACATAGCCTCCTAAGATTTTTTTTATTTTCTTCCGAAAAAAATCTATAGTTTCTATATTTTTTTTATTTTTTATTTCCGCCCTTGAGACTTTCAAAAATTAATTAAAATCAAATCAATTTTACATAACTTTGTTCAAATTCAAGCATATTTGTAAAATTAACTTAGATTTTTAATTTTTTATGGAATCACAAAATTCATGTTTGTTGCAATGATATTCAACACAACTTTAAAATGTCGCAATTTTTTTTTTTAACAAGTTAAAACATTACTTATGATAATAGCCATATTAAAAAAACTCTCCTGAAAGTGCAAAAGTTTTATTTTATTTAAGTAAATATTAGTAGAATTTTGATATTTTTTGAGCCACCCTGTATGCTGTTTGACTTACAAACATTCTAAGTGCGCCTAATATGATTATCAGACATGCACCAACTTTTGGCCTTGTTTGTATTTTGATTGTGCTATTACTAAAAAAAAATCCCATATGTTGCACACTTAAGTAATGACACTGTACATCAAGGAAATAGAGAATAATATTGGAATCCATTCATCAAATGAGAACAAATATGATACTTGTGCTCCTGTAGAATCACTATGGGTTAATGTCAGCATAGGCGGAACAAAAATACTACTAGGCTGCATATATAGAACAGATTATGTAAGATCAGATAGCAATACAGAACTGGTCAACCTAATTAAAGCTGCTTTTTCCCAACAAAATAAAACAGTTATTTTTGGTGACTTCAACTATCGAGAAATAGACTGCAATACCCTCCAAACAATCAAGCATGATATTTCAGCTGAGGAGTTTTTAGAAGGTTTCAAAAAAACAAATGCTTACCAATTAGTTAACTTTCATACTAGAATAAGAGGAGACCAACAATAGCTATTAGACCTGATACTGGTAAGTGAAATGAACTTAATATTCAATATTAATAGTAACTCTCCGATGGACGCAGTGATCATGTAGTTATCACTGGCACATCCCAAATAAAGGCAAAAGGGGAGGAGACTTTTAAAAGACAAACCAGAAACTGGAAGGCAGACTACGACGCGGTCAATAACCACCTGCATAATCAAAACTTTGACAACACAAACACCAACTTGACCAAATATGAACACTGTGAAAACATCATCAAAACAACCATTGATAAATTCATACCACTTAAATCCACTAGGAAAAACTCCCAGAAGCCATGGATAAACGAGGCCATATTCAACGAAATAGACAAAAAACGCAGATTCTGTTATAGGTATAGACAAAACATTACAGATGAGAACTATCAGTTGTACAGACTGCAGAGTAACAAATTAAAAAATACAATAGCTGAAGCAAACATATTTGATGAACGTAGAATAATACAATCAAAGTCAAACAAACAATTCTGCAAGTATGTGTCTAAAAGTCTAAACTCAAAAGTGTCAACAATCACATTAAAGGATGACAACACTAACAACATTATTGCCAACAATGAGGATACATCGGAAACGTTTGCCAAACAATTTTTGGAAATGTTTGCTCAAGAGAATGACCAGATTTCGGTTTTGTCTGATAGCACTAGAAACGTTAGTTCGCATCGATTTCACACCATTAAAATTGTAAAACGCTATTCCAAGCCTGAACACTGAATCAAGTCTTTGTCCGGATGAAATTTCATCCATTTTTCCAAATAAATGCGTAAAAAGTTTAGCAGCACCACTGAGTCATGCTATGAATGAATCTAGCCAGCCAGCTGGAAGCAGGCTATTATAACACCAATATACAAAAAGGGTGACAGATTTAAACCAGAAAACTACAGGCCAGTAAGCTTAACAAGCCCTGTTGCGAGGAAAAAATCATAGCGAAGAAACTGGATGAATTCTCAAAGTTGAATGAGGTTATACTTGATTCGCAGAAAGGATTCCAGAAGAAGAAATTAACAACAACCAACATGTTAAGATGTTTAAACGACTGGACTACAAACTCTGATAAGAACATACAAACAGATATTATCTACCTGGGCTATGAGAAAGCCAAGGTGCCATTCAAAAGGCTTCTCTACAAGTTGAACCATTTTGGAGTAAGAGGCGATCTACACACCTGGATAGGAGAATTAAACAAGGCCGAGTGATTAAAGTGAGAGTCAACGGAGTCTGCTCTTCTTTCCACAATGTAATTAGTGGGACCCCACAGCAGGGCTCTGTGCTGGGACCTCTCCTGTTTCTGCTGTATGTTAGTGACCTGGCTGAGAACAAACATCATATTTTTTGCAGACGACACCAAACTGTACTGTGAGCCAATATTCGGACATGAAAGACGATCTGGATGCAATTCAGACATGGTCTGAAAGATGGCAGATGAAACTAAATGCTGACAAATGTGTGATGCTGACTGTGGGTGCTGAAAATCCAGGAAATAAATATATCCTGAATGATTGTTTGCTGCAGCACGTTAACTCGCAAAAGCACAGTGAAGGGGATAGAAGATACCCAGTTACCAAATACTTACAAAATAAAGCAGCTGCAATGAATATTCTCACAACCATCAAAATTGGATATACAAGATGTAGTATCGAGAAGAAGATATACCTCCAGAAATGCTATAGATGGTCATATGACCATGCTACTGAAGACTGTAACGGCCCTGATCAAAGTATTCTTTGCTTTAAATGCGGCAAAGAAGCACATCAAGCAAAGAACTGCGAAGAAAATGACGAAAGGTGCTTAGTGTGCAACGAAGAGGGGCACGAACCAGGCACTGGTAAGGCAAGGCATTTGAAAAGGCATTGCTCATAAATCGCAAATACGAAAGGATGATCTCTGGAAATCATGAAAAAGATAGTATTGGAGACAAGGAAAATCCGACTACATGTCAAAATGGGCCTCCGCCACAATAAAACACCCTCAATCAAGATAATTCAAGTAAACCTGAATAGATGCCGGGCGGCCCACGACTTGCTGGCAGCAACAGCTAAAAAAATGAAGATTGACATCGTATCTGCCTCAGAGTCGAAAATAGCGATAATTGACTACCCTTTATGGATTAGCGACCGTAACAAGGATTCAGCAATATACATGCTTAATAGGAATATACCTTGCAGAACAACAGGTGAAGGGGTGGGTTACACATGGACCGAGATGACATGCTTCTGCCTCTTCAGCTGCTACATACCGCCGTCCAAATCGATAGAGGAATACCAAGGTATAATAGAGATTATCGGAACAGAGATAGAGAGGATTAAAGGGGACGTGGTCAGTTCAATGCCAAACCTAAACCAGGCGGAACGCAGGAAATCAGTATATTGGTGGACAAAGGAGATCGCGGGAAGGAAATGCCTAGCCTGCAGAAAAAAACTGACGAGGAGTAACAAAAAGGAAGGCAGGCGACTATGCAGAGTCTAAAAAAGTGCTCAGGCTGGTTATCCAAAAGGAGAAAAGGAGTTGCTGGATGAAAATTACAACTAGTAGACTGGAAACCAGAACGCAGACACAGGCTATCCCGATGGTCTGCTCAGATAGAGAGGATGCCGGCGGAAATAACCCTGATCGGGTACGCGGACAACATCGCGATGGTGGCCCTGGGGAAAGATATGCTAGATTAACAGAGGATTGAGGAAGATTGATGTCGTGACTGAGGACATACAAAGGTGGCTCCACATGAACCATCTAGAGCTGGCAGCCGAGAAGATAGAAGTTATTGTTACGCCTAAAAGACGCCCTCCACAGACGACGATAAACATACTTGACTCGAAGATGACACCAAAGATCAAGTAGCTGGGAGTATGGATAGACACCAAACTTACCTACACAAGCCATATTGCCAGAGCCAGACAGACGACAATGGCCGATTTTGGGTTCACGCTCGGTGCACTCAGAGACAAAAGTGCCATTTGTCTCTCTTCTGTTATTTTTGAAGCTCTGACAACGCTTGATTTTGTTTGGATGGACATATTTTGAGCGCTCCGAGCGAGCTCGATAAACTCTGAGTTTGTAGAGCGGGCAGCTGGAGCGTGCATGTGCAGGCCGCAGACAACCTAACCTATTTTCAATGATTAGATAAATGAACAATCCCAAATTTTAACATTTATTTGTTAGCTGGATAGTTGTTATTTTTTTCAAATATTAACAATCGAATAGCTACTAAATTTTTTACTTTTAATTATTTTTTCTCGGTAGTCCTCATCGCATAATTCTCCAAAGCAAATTTGGCAGCCAGGAGTGTTTAGGTTCATTATTATTTATTAAATTATTCAACGCGACACAATTCAAGTAGAACACAAAAGAAGATGAGGCTGTTTGAAAAATGTCGACTAAAATAAGAAACAAACTAGAAAACTCTGGTGGAAGTGGAAATGTGGAATACAGACTCGGACTCCAAAAAACATAGTCATCCCGAAAAAATAAACAGTAATCAGCTGATCACTCAACCCAGCAATTTTGCACGAGTCTATTTGGCTTGACACGGTGTACTTCCTGTGACGTCACGTCACTCCGTAACCGCTCTGCTCGCTCGCTGAGCGTTAACACAAACACGCTCAATGGCGCTTAGCCGACTGATGCCAAACATAGGTTTGGCCCACAGCCAGGAAAAAGGGAGGTGTTGTCGTTAGTGACGAACTCGATTGCATTATACGCTGCTCCGGCGTGGTAAGAGGCGATGAAGCTGCAAAAGAACAGGAAGGTTTACCAGAGAGTACAGAGGCAGGCGGCGCTACGCATATGAGACTACACCGACAGGAGTGCTCCTGGTCATTGCAGACAAACCGCTCATAGACCTACTGGTAGTGGAAAGGAAGAGAACAGGCAAGGAGCGGAGAAGGCAGGCCCAAATGGACACCAGGATGTACACGATGGAAATATGGCAGGACAGATGGGCGTCAAACGCCACGGAGAGATGTCAGTGGAAAGAGGCTAATTCCACAATAGAGGTATGGCACAATAGGAAACATGTGGATGTGAACTACTATATTACACAGGCCCTGACTGAGCACGGCTGTTTCAGGACCTTCACACGACACATTGGCAAAACGGAGGTCGCTCAGTGTATCTATTGCGGAGAGGCGAATACGGCTGAGCATACGATTTCCTGGTGCCGTAGGTGGAACGAAGCAAGGGAAGTGTGTACTGAAGAGATAGGCAGGAGACTTGTTCTAGAGAACCTTATTGAGGCGATGGTGGGCGATAGCCGGAATTATGAGGTGATAGGCAGGATGATGGAAATCCTGAAGGGCAAAAGTGAGGAGCAGAGAGAATACTGACTGCAGTGCTATAGGAACCGATTATACACGAGTACAGATCTGGTAGGCGAGCAGAGAATTGAAAAATAAACAACACTTTTTGAGATTTGGAAAGTTTTGTGACAAGTTTTGATACAAATAAATTGTCAACGTCATTTCGCACTATTTTCGAACCAAAAAATTGTCAGGAAACTGTAGCTTTGCTTCAACTAAGGAATAAAAAAAATTCTATATGATGCGGTAACACTTCATATTAGCAAATATTTCAAGAGATAATTGAAATTGAAAAATTAGGAACATCTAAACACAAAATGAAAAAAATATAAATATTATACTTAGGTAATATAAGTTGCCTAATTATTGATTACACAAAAAGGAGACAATAAGAATTCTATATGATATTAAGTTAAATTTGGCTCTTTAATAATTGGCTCACAGAATATTTGTTGATTGAAATATGTTACAAAATGGCAGTTGAAATGTTATTTCTAGAATAAATTGGTGGCAAGTGACAGTTCTTGGACCTGAAACTGCCAGTATAATTTATGAGGAAAGGAAATTATATACACTATACACCCCTGAGTTGTTAGGTACCTATGTCTGGAAAACGTCTTATAATTTATTTATGAGAAAAGGATCCTGAAAACTTCTTTGGTATGTACTTTCCGATGTAAATTATTCAAAAGAAGAGGCTATGGTAGATCAATTTTTATATTATTATTTTAATTTATCAAATATTTATAATGAAATGGAATTATGAAACTTTTTACATGATTTTAGTTGCGCATTTGCAATATTCGGGGGTTACAAATTTTTTAGGAGGATTAATTACGAATGAATGAAGCCTGCTTTGGCAACTTATCATTTATCAACTGGAATATTTCAATTTGTTGTTGATCGTTTCTATTTATCAAAAACTCGATTTCAAATTCATTAGGAATTTGGCTCAGGTGTGTCCCCAACCGGCGATTAAAACCAACTTAAAATCGTACGGCTGTATTTATAAAATAATCTCCGTAATAAATTATAAATTATACTCTTGCTTCCTCCATCTGCTCCAAATTCCTTTACCTAAATGGCCAGTCTTCATTATTTTCTCAATACACATTTTCACACACATGAGAAATAGCTAAAAAAAGATCATCGAGTTACCTACTGACCCACTCCCCTATGTAACGGAATTTTTGATGATTAATTTAATAATAATTTTGATTTTTAATATTTTACAAGATTTACCTTTAAGAAGCCAATTGCATGGTTTCACTTTAGTTCAATAAAAAATAAAAACAATTAAAAACCACAATGTAAAATTAATTTGTAGTAAAATTACGCTCATTCATAATAATATGTTATCTTGGAGCGGAAACAAGTCAGTGGCGTACCTACGTAAGATTTCTAAGCCACTTTTCGCATTATACACTGATCAAAACGAAAAAGGAGCCACTTGAGTAATTTAATATAGGTAACTTCTTTATTGCATTGAAAAGAAAAATGTCTGTTTTCCCAGCAGACACGCAGTTCCATATGAAACCAAAAAGGTTGTTTTTATCACGGTTTGTTTACCTTTTCAACAAAAAATTTCAACTTTGTAAATTTACCTACTGTCACATAAGCTTTGTTCCAACACAGCAGAAAACCGTACATTGTACCGTCACGATTCTGCGCAAAACCTAAAATTTGGGCGTAGAATCCGAAATTTGTATACATAGTGATTTCCAAACCATTCACGGGACAATTTTTGACGTTTTCGAACAGACCTAAACTCAAATAAAAAGATAAAATAATAGGTATCTAATATCGTAGAAAACTACAAATATTAAAATATTTTACCACTAATTAGAAAACTGTCTGGTATTTTCTATTACTTAATATTTTTTACTGAATTTAGGATTACTCAAAAAGGAACATTTCAGCAGAAATCAATGAAAAGAAAATTGAACTAAGATAACATATTCTACGCCAAGGATCAACCAACGTCCGTGAAGGTTTCAAGGCTGCATCTGGTCGTGCCGCATATTATATTGGGCGTTTCTCTTTGAAGCAAAAACCCATTCTAAATGTGCTAAAAGCCAGGTATCCGTCCTGCTGTTCTCTTGACCGAATCTCAATTGAACATCAAAAACTGGTCTGATGCGAAGAGAAAAAGTTGAGCACTTTTATTTCGATTACTTGCGTACACTTACAGTGTGGCACAACAAATTACTTTCTCTTTAAACTGACGCTAAATCGTCTTGAGATATAACTTCAAAAATATATTTTGTCCTTTCATACATTGAAAAATTAGAAAAACCAGTCGGAAATTTTGCAACCAAATTTCAAATATTAGTCGGTATATTTGGGGCATACAAGCAAGGTAAATGATATTTCGAGCTGTTCAAAACTTCAAGACAAATTATTTTCCTAAAACAATTTTAAGCAATATTAGTTGCTGAATGGGATAGCGATAATTATTATCTCGGATGTTTTTGAGCAACAAATTTCTATATTAACTGAAATACAAATAACCACCCATTTATATAATAAAGAAAAAACCTTATCTACCTACTGGCATATCTGTTACAGTAACAGTCAAAGGACGCAGTAATTTTTCATGGAACAGCTCCTGAAATTAATTAGCAATAAAGTAATAAAATATAAGTTGACTTTCGAAAATTATGTTTTTCTCGAGTAAGGTGTGGTCATATGCTACCAATTCCAACAATATTTGAGTCTGTCCACCTTGTAAGTTATACACTACATCAATTTTCAATCCTGTCTATTCGCCTCCGAACCAGGTCAAATACGAGATGCTGTAGACAATCTCGATCTAATTACTTATTTTGTTATTATTTTCTTGCATTTTTATGCTCCACTAAATTCTTATCAAGAAAACTTGCTTTTGGATTTTTTGCACTTCGTACCGTATAAGTAGTTGGTTAGAGTTCCATTTACTTACATTTTAGTTGGTGTCTCAGCAAGAACATGAAGTTTTTGGTGCTAACTGGTGTTATATTTCTAATAGTTGCCTCGGTGAGGGCTGAAGGGCCTCATGGGATTACGATTTTGTCAAAAATATTACGGCAGTACATCAATTCACAGCCTGATGATGTGAGGCTCGGTGAGGGTGTACATATTATCAGTTCTAGAAGTGAAAATGATGCTAGGGCATATGGGGACGACAGCACCCTGCTCGGAGCGGTGGAGAATTATTTGGAGAGTCATGAAGTTAGGATACGACTAACGGAGCTTATGCCAGGAGAAGGATTTGGAAGGGCATTTAAAACTGCTATGGATGAAGTGGAGAATGGAACGGAAAATGATGGTAAGTAAAAATGTCTCGAAGGGCCGAATGAATTACCCTACGATTTTTTCAACAAAAGATTTTAACATTCAAACATGACTGAATTTTGTTTCGAATGAAATAATAAAAATTGAAAGTGAATACGTTTTGGATACTTTTAATAAAAAAAAACATATTTGGGAATGGAATACGATATCATATATTTGCTGTAGAGCTTTTTAAACCTCTAACTTTTTTCAAAGCTAAGAAATACTAATTATAGCCTTACTTTGAAAATTGGGTCATGCAAAATATAATGGTCTTATAAGTCCCGCATGCAACTCGAAACAGTTTTTCAATTTTAATTTTCTTTTTCAGATCAATCGACAGGACGTGGAGGCGGCGGCGGCGGAGGCGGTGGCGGCAAAGGGGGCGGCGGTGGCGGCAACGGTGGCGGCGGAGTCATGATGATGGGTCTGATGATGGGAAAACTTTTAGCAGCCCTTGGTATCGGTGGCGTGGGACTTTTGGCTATGAAAGCACTTATGGTGTCAGCGTTAGCCTTGATGCTTTCCATCATTATCGGTTTGAAGAAACTGGTTCATCATGATGACGATGGAGGCGGTAAGATTATTCTTTATGAATCTAAATATTTGAAAATTGGAAATTTCAACAAAAAGTGGGATGCATCGAAAGCATAAAATTCACTATAACTAATGAATGAAAATCTTCGTACTGCAAGTCACGAAAACTTTAATACCGATATCTGCACATACAAAATTGAATTTTAGACTTGAATTTCGTTGCACATTTTTTCCTCTTTCCTCCACGAATGAGAATACGGGGAAAAAATAATATTATTTCCTTCTGCCAACAAAATTAATCGCCCGCACGTACCTTTCTACCGTGTCTACGGAAGCGAAAGACGTATGTGTAAAAAGTGGGCTTCCTCCACTGTTGCTTTGATAATTATGTTCAAGGAGAAAAAAGTATCGGCTACCTACTGCTTTTATGTTTTTTTTTTTCTAGAAAACTTTGAATCGCCTGTTAAGTCATGGTACAGAGTAAATAGTCATATAAACACAAAACGTTTTAACGGAAAAAGATATTTCAATTATTCTGGAATAAGCAGCGGGTAGAGAAATGGAACCAAACTAAGTAATCGTTCCCAGAAAATGTGGTAGCCGTATTTTATTTGGGAAAAAGCTATTTTATTATCATATTTAGGTGTTTGCGAAAAACGGCATTAGTTTGCACACAACTGAAGCTATAGAGAAAATCTTGATGAAATTGATACCAGAATGTTGCTTAGCCAAGTAAAATGTTTGGAGAAAATAATCTAATTATTTGAAATTTTTCCGGCTTAGGTAGGTACAGAAGTTTTCCGTTGTCCAGCTGCCGGCGAGTGTGACAAACTATCTCTTTTCGCACTTTTTGGTTGAATAACTATTTTCAACCCACGTGCAGAATGCAAAGAATAGCAATTAAATCAAATTGACAATGACATTCGAAATAACTTCTTCTTAAATAGAAAAATAGTATAGGTACAGTTATAGGATTCTATAGCAAGTTTGGAATAGTCGTGATTTATTAAAGTTTGCTGCGGCGTCTTTTCTTAAACAGGGAAAGTGGTTGTAAATGCACCATTCCAGGTGCTTAGACTTTTTTACAACTGCTATTGAATACATACATTTTGTCGGTATATTGTTCGTCAAATACTATGTTGAACCGGGCAAAAATATGATAACTAATGTTTTCGGGAACTGTGGAAATGTATATTTTTCACCTATATCAAAGCAACAGCTACAAATTTGGTAACTGGCTTTTGAGCCATAATCGTTCCTGAAAAAAGTTAATTAGAGCTGCTTTCCATTTGGAGTATTTGGCTCAAAATTTTAAATCGTCCTTAAATTTAAAACATCTTTTTCCAGGTCACCACGTGATTCACGCAAGCCACGGAGGACACGAGTACCACAGAAAAAAGAGGGAGGCATCTGAAATTGCCTACCAAGGTTGGGATAACTACAAACCTCAATAAATTTTCGAGAGCAGACAAACACAAGTTATCGGTTTAGTTATTTATTAATTTATTTATTTTTAGTTTTTTGACTCATCCCATTCATCGAGTAGTTTCATTTTCCTTCTCACTCTCACCTGTATCACAATTCATTAATTATTGCTTTTCCTATTGTCTTCTTATTGCCTCTGTTACATCAGCACATTAAGTATTTTTCGTACTGGTTTATTTACTTAAGTATATATTTTCACCTCTCATCATTGTCATCATTCATGCTTGTCCACCAAATATCTAGTTTATAAGTCTCGTAATTGTTGATTATTTTCGCCATTTTGTGCATTTAAATTTTATATACAATTAATTAGTTTGGAAATAAATAGAGGAAAGCCTTTTAATAACAATATCCGCCTTTGACTGTAACATTGACCTGAATACCGATTAATTTCTCCTTCTTGTTGAATCGAGTGGAGACTTGGCGCAAGAAGGACGGTAGATATCGATATTTTGACACACCGAATTTCAACGTCCACAGAAACTAAAGTTCCAATTAAACCTATGTTTCCCAGTGAGGACAGCTAACCACGTCTCATTTTACTTAAGTGCCTTCTGCGGCAATAAAACTTAATTGCTTTCGATCTGTCACAGGACGTTACCTTTAGTTTTAGTTAGACGATAAAGGACGTTAAACTCAGCTTGAGCCAAAGGAAACTAATTATTTGCAAATTGCGTGAACTGGATCCCTATTATTAGGATCTAGACACGTTATGAACAGTAGAAGAACGTGAAAAATTTGAATTTCATCCTAGTTGTTTACCTATTCTTCGTATTCCAGAAATTTATTCTTGACAGGTATGTCATTTTTTTAGATCCAGAAAAGTAAATCTAATTCCTTGTTAAAACGAAAGTATATAATTTGTATGCGATTTTATTTTCGACGAATAATGTTTCACTCTGCACCGTCTTCCCCTGATTAATTTCTCTTTTAAATAATAAAGGATCAATGAATCGGATTTCTTTACCTAGATGTATACACTGTCCTCGATCTTATAGACTCTTTTTTCCTTTTTTTTTGTATGAATATGAAAAGAAGAAAGCTGTGTGAACATTTTTGTTCTTTTAGAGAGCATTTTTTACTTTACTTTCATTTCTTTGGTATATAATAGACATTTCACTGCCTGCAACCTTACACAGTGGGACTTTAATTTTAACCCAAACTACTATTAGAAGAGAGCGCTTATCTGTCGCGTTTAATGAATATATATGCAGCTACATTTGAAGTCAAAATATAATAATGTGCTGTCTACAAACCACATTTGAAATTTCCAGTCATTGCTCTAAAATTAGCCTATGCTGTAACTGGGGCAATCGTCACTTACTGTCGTAATTATCAGTTTGAGACTAGGTAGGACGTGAGACAAGAGAAGTGATGCGATGCTTTATCCTAATGTACATTTTCCGAAGAAAACATAAAAATTGGGACACCATGAAAATATACCCTAGGAATTTTATTAAAAGCTAAATTGAATCGTCGCAATTTTCCTGGAGCATCCACACAAAAAAAAACACCATCTGCTTTCATTGGATTGTGCCACCTTTGAAGTTCTCCTTTCCAAAAAATACAAAAAATACAGTTTGAAAAGCAAAATAACCCTTCGAACATTCCTTATTAATACCTACCTAACATTGTACCTTTTCGAGAGGACCAGAAAAATTAATAGATTCATTGTCAATATTTAAATAATTTTCGCATAGTTCAGAAACCATAATTGTCCCATTATAGTATTTCAGTCCAGGCGCGCGGCCAGAAAATTTAGTTGGGGGGGGGAGGGTTTGAAATTAAGAAACATTGCATGACAATATGGGTGTCAGAAAATAAATTTCAAGGTCAAATGCTTTATATGAAAAGAATAAAATTTTGAGGGTAAAAAAGTATATGCTAAAACATAGGTTTTGTAAGGTAAATTTCTAGAATTTTTAGTAATGTCCCAATAGATATGTCCTTCGTGACTTCACTTTTTAGGTAGGAAAATTCGTTGTTAATGAGTCAATTTGGGGGACAGACGGATCCCTCGTCCCCCATTGGGAACGCTACTGGTAAAATCAACATGTTTACTAGATAAATAAAAGTCAAAATCTGACAAAATTGAGATTGAGATTGTTAGTATTTGTATTATAATTTTTAATTTCTAATAATTTACAGAAGTAGTTTTTAATTGTACTTTCTGATCAAGTGGGGTGGGGGGGGGTTGTTTAACCCCCAAACCTCCCCCCTGTGGCTACGCCCCTATGTCAATGTCAGTCAAGATTTTCGGAACGACAGTCAAACCTGTTACGCAGGTCATAACAAATGAACAATGAGTGAAAGATCATTCGAAAAATTTGGAAAACATCCTTCCAGGAGCGAGCAGACAGGATGACGACTACGGCCAAACATATAAAGCTCGAGTGTCAAAGTAAACCAACAGATCATATGATAGCATCACTGGACTTTGACATTCCATATAAAGTGGTTGTAGAAAAACGGCAATCATGAAAGAGCTCAAAGCTACCGCAAGCGGATAAAGCATCATTGTGGTACACAGATGGTTCGAAAGGAGTCGGTCTGGGAATAACTGGACATACTGTCCGACAGTCAAGTGGCTCTAAAGGATTTAGGAGCCATCAAGTGCAATTAAGGAAAGAGACAAAGTGTATTTCATGCAAATTTGCATGAAATACACTTTGTTTCTTTCCTTATCAGGACACATGCACAGTCTCCCCTCCTTGGTATCAAGTGCAATTCGCAGCAAAATTGGGAGGGTGAAAATATCCTTAAGGAACTGGCTGGGAGGAACAAAGTAACCCTGATGTGGATGCCAGAACAACCGAGCATAGAGTGCAACGAAGGGGTAGACTGTCGCTGACGCTTTAACAACTTTTCAAGGCCCAGGGACTTTTTACAGACTAATCCATAATATTTTTTTTTGCTCTATAGCTGGAGCTCTTTCGTCCCATCTCGACTCTGGCGTCAATCCCTTAGACTATTTGACAGACAAAAATGTCTAAAAATCCATTGAACTATTACTCCACCTTAATGATAGGGGTTTTCGTGCGCTTGAAAATGAAACCAGGGTTTATTTCCTAATATCCTTAAGCATGCAGTGGTTGTACCTCTTCACAAAGCGGGAGGCTCAGACTCTCCAGCAAATTTCTGTCCTATCTTTCTTCTTCCTCCACTTGGTAAGCTGATTGAGAAACTGGTCCAAATTACAGGACTCTATCATTCTTTAATCTAAACAGGTCCCTCTCCGTTAATCAATTTGGCTTCCAGTGTGAGAAAGGAACATCTCCCTTCTCTTCTTGAAGATATCTATTTGGGTACAAATGAGAATCACCTTTCAGCATCAATGTTTTAATTTTTGTCGAAGAGTTTCGATTGTGTCGCTCATTTTGTGTTGCTCCATAAGCTTGTAGCGCAACTTTTTTCCCATTTAATTGGCAATATGGATTGCTGTATCTGTTACCGTTTACGAGATCCCCATGATAGACATTCTTTTCTTGGGCACCCTGTACATAACTGCTATTTTCTAATCAACAGTTGCTGAAAATCTGCCAAAAATGTTTATGTAAATAAATTCTAGCTTTTTTAGGACGATGAAACTTTCATTTCCATTCCAAAATCAATGACATGATCCAAGTTTAAGAGATAACTATAATGTACAATATTATTTCAGTTTATTAGCCAAATATAATAACATCATATTCAATGTAATCCAAGTAATGTATTTAATTCACTTGTGATCACCAATCACTCTCGGAGTACTGTCCTTCACATACACAAAGTTTCGTACAAGGTTTTCCCATTTTAACACATTCACAAGATGTCCATCGCTTTCGAAAAGCACAGGAGGTAAGTTGTGCACAGTGTTTTGACACTTCTGGAATTGTTATCCCCACTGGTTGGTATGATTCACCTGAAGTTTGTATCCATCCCCATTTGGTTGGCGAAGGTATTGTGTATTGTGGATCGAGGCTGTTGGTCCAGATTCTTGCTTGGAGAGCAGCTTGTTTGATGTGTTGTTTTTAGGCATCTGCTGTAGGAGGAATATTGATTGCCCGATTCTTTCTTGTGAACAACACTCGTCTGCATTCATTGATGTTCTGAAGATCTGATGCTCGATCATAAAGTAGAATAACAAAACGCTGCAACAGATCATGACATTCATGATCAATATCAGAGGTGCCTGTACAAAGCCGCTGCCATACACAATCAATTTCACGGAATGACATCCAGCCCTTCCAAGCTGTCTTCTTGCCAATGCCACAAAATGTGGAAACTGTGTTGCAACCAGTAACAGAATGAAAAGCCAAAAAATTTCTGCAAATTTCTGGTGGAAGTGTGGCACAAATCTTATGAATTGCAATGAATTTTCTGTATTTTCCAAAACCATACGGAATACATAGTTCATCAATATCTTGTATTTGTGGGAACAGTGATATTGAAATAACCACTACATCTGAGTCCACAGTTCGAATTAGGATGCGAGTATGTCCAATTTCTACTGTATGTTTAACATAGAGAAATAAACGGCTATCTGCTTCTTCGTGTGAGGCGGGAGAACTGCTTGAAATATCCATTGTTGTTGACGTGAGGACTTGGTCATCATAAGTAGAGAAAACATGTTTTCCTGGATACTTGTCTCTCACCATTTTCTCAGCGAGCAACTGGAACAATTGTGTCTTTCTCCGTTAACATATAAAAATTGCTTGAATTTGTTCGGAATTCCAGTTTAGTCTGAGACTTTAATACTGATGCCACTTCTTCTACTTTCTCGGGTATCTGCCTTCACACTGTCACTAACATATCTGTCGAATACAATATCTATTGGGGAACTATTCTTCAGTTGGTTTATTAAATATGGTTTGAAAACATGTTCATAGTATTCAGAAAATATGCTAGCATATGCAGGATTAAGCACGTCTATTACAGGTGCTCCATCAAATATTTTAGCTCTTACATTCGGTTGGCTGGGATTAAACCT